TTTGTTACGTCTGAATGGAATCGGAAGTTAATCTCGTGATTTATGAGCTAAGCGGATACTAAAAATGTTGATCCTTTGTGGGTAGGTACCAGAAGGAGTAGGCCGATATATCCAATCTTCAAAGAAGATTTTGTGTTAATAAAATTTTTGTGCTGCGTGTAGTTTGAAGACAATCGGACTCTCACATCGCATTTTATAAGAGTTATAATTATTCAAAATTTTGATCCTTTGTGGGGGAGGTACTTCATGGAATGGACCTATATTGTCCATTTTCGCACCCGACCTAGCACTGATGGAAATATAAGGATTTGCAAAGTTGGAGCAAAATCAGATTATCCTTTTTTCTTTCAGTAAAATATTTTGAAAACTTCGGCCTTTTGTGGGGGAGGTACCAGAAGGTGTGGACCGATATTGTCCATCTCCGAACTCGATCTAAATTTGATAATAATATTACGATGTACCATGTTTGGACTAAAGTGGATGCTCCCTTTCGAGGGTTATCGTGCGCACCTACCAGCCAGCCCGAAAGACGGGTGGACATCGCTAGACCGACTCCAATGGTCCTGAAATTGATTTGGTCCCAAGAGATTTAGGGCTAAAATCGTTATTTCCATAAGGCACGTTTTGTCGGTATCAAATGATATATGCCCTCTGTAGCCATATTGCTGATGGTATAAAAATATATAAAATTCTATATAGACTTAATAGTGCTCTGTTTGTGTATCAAAATCTCTATTGATTTGTGAGTTCTCATAGCTCTAATCATGTAAAAAGGGACCAGAAAATGTGTTTCGCAATATTTAGGATAAAGCTTTAAAATTATATTAGAGATCCTGGGATTAGATATAGAATCATTGGTACAACGTATATGTCGTATTGGTTCACTTTTTTAATATATTCTCTATATATTAGTATATTCCGATTTCAAATTATTTTTTACGATTTGACCAAAATTTCCAATTAATTTCAAAATATATTTATACTTTTGAGTTCTGGGTAAGTAGAAACCCTTGGTGAAAAAATTTGATAAGGAATATTTTGCAGAAACCGAATTAACAATTTGTTTTAAATATTTATAAATTATTGGCCTTTAAATGAGATCTTAAGATGTGTAGATTATTTTTACGATGCCGTTTAAAAGGAGTTTTTAACTTTTTTTTATTTATTTATTTATTTTTTTTTTTTTTTGAAAAGGAATTAAAATTGGGGTTTCGGTGACTTTTTCTTGAGGATTATAATTTTTATAAGTAATAATGCCGAAGACTCTATACACACAAAATGTAAAGGTTTCAAGAAATACTTTTCGCATGATTGCATGAAATTACCTTTTTGATTCTACCAATGTCCTTTCTGTACAGTAATTATGTGTTTGACCCAAATATTTAGAAACCAATACTTTTCAATATCGATTTCTATGCATTACACACATAAATATAGTCTGACACAAATACAAAAAAAAAAAAAAAAAAAAAAAAAAAAAAAAACAAAGAATACCAACTCACCACATAAATAAATATGCCAAATTTATTTACAAAATATTTCAATGGCAAAGCTAGCCAGTGAACACCTTTAGGCTTTATTCACATGGAAATAGCCGTAAACAAAATTTAAAATTGCTAATGGATTGGTGGTTTGTTATTTTTCATAACGATAACCAATGACTACTGGCGTAACTAAATAAAATGAATAATATACAAATGTTGTTGTGATTTTGTTTACTATTATTCATTACCGCAATTCAAATCAATGCTGAGATTTTGTTTAACTATTTTATTGAATTGTAATATTTGAAAACCGCAAACAAATCTGATTCATGAAATTTATTGCTAATTTCATTTTACATTGGATGCCATTGTAGAATTTTCTCAGCCGAAGTAAATATAATAGATCCAAATATACATACATTTTCATTGCAGTTTAAAGCAAACAACCAAGAATTCTTCAGAACATGATTGTTTGGCGATAATTCCATTAAGCGATTATATTTTCTTAACGTAGGGGAACAGCGAAAATGGAAAAATATATAGTCATAAAGAAGAAATTTTGACCTAACACTATGATAACAAGTAAAATAGTATCGGTCGGTTTTGCCGACAGATTTATACCCCAGCCTTGAAAATGTGGAAATATGCGTGAGGTAACAGATATAGTGGACCGAAGTATTCCATTTTCATACTTCTTCTAATATAGATAAAAATATTTGAAAAAAATCGGACGTTTATATTAAATTTTATAAGAAATCATAAATTCCAATAAATTACATATTCATATCAGATTTATGGTTAAGAGAAATTTTTAGATATAGCAAGTTGTATAGAATCGCCGACTTGTTTCGTTATGACATATATAAGTACTGGAAATTGTGACCATTTGTGGGTGAGGTTCCACACAAAAGATCTTGTGTTAGCAATAATATTTGGATGTGTGAAATTTGAATAGAGTTGGATGCTTATTTCGCTTTCTTTGAGCGTTTTGTTTTTCAAAAAACTTCAACCCTATGTGGGGGAGGTACCAGAAGATGGAAGTTGATGGAAGTATTGAGAAGTGCCAAGTCTGAATGGAATTGGATGTTAATTTCGTGTTTCATGGACATTCAAAATTTTGACCCTTTGGTGGGGGAGGTATCAGACGGAGTGGACCAATATATACCATCTCCACACCAAACTTTTGGGTTGATAAAAATAATGTCATGTGTGTAATTTGAAGATAATCGGACACTTACATCACATTTTATAAGAGTTATAATTACTCACAATTTTGACAATTTGTGGGGGACGTACCAGAAGATATAGTCCGATTTCTACCATCTTTAAAACAGATCTTGTGTCGATGGAAATATTGAGATTTACAAAGTCTAAATGAAATAATTTCGCTTTTTTGAGCTTCGTGGATATTCAAAATGTTGATCATTCGTGGTGGAAGTACCAGAAGAAGTAGATCTGTATATCCCATCTTTACACCAGACCTTGGGTTAACAAGTAAAAAGTAGTAAGTTCGGCCGCGCCGAAGTTTGAGTACCCTCCACCATTTGGGACGAATTAGGAAATTTTCGAAGAAATAAAATTTTGCAACAACTAAAAAAATAAAATCTACTAAAAAATCCGTTAAAATCATAAAAATGCGGAATATCGGAAGGAGCCGTTATATGTGGGCCATAAGATATCGTAGACCTATGGAACTTCTTATGTCATTTTTTTTGATATTTTCGTTGTGGCTAAAATTATCTAAATACCGAATACCGGTGGGGGGTGGTTACCGTTATTTGGGGGCTATACGATACCGTTGACCGATATATCCATCTTCGAACTTCACCTGCCTACAGACAAAAGACTGAGCTTCTTATCAATTATTATTTCGATGAGTTACAAACGGAATGCCGAACTTAATATACCCTCCATACTATGTGTTCACGTTCGTGTCGTGCCCAAATTTGGAAATCCCAGGATCCTACAGTCAAGCTATAACATCTCTCGTTGATCTGGCTACCCTAGACGAAGCTTGGGATATTTTTTCTTTGGTTGCTGAGATGGCGCACTCGCTGAGATAGATTTAGCGATTATTATGTTTTTAGTTATAAGATTTATCCTTCTTGTTGTTTAACTCGTTGAACGGAATAGACGTCCGCGTTTTTTAGACCGATCGATTCTGTCAATAAGAAATCAATTTGTGTAAAATCTTTAAGTTTTTCCCTCTTTTTAATAAAAACAAGAATTGTTTTCTTTCCGTGGCCGAAAATAAGTGATTTTTTATTCAAACATAAAATTGCCTGGTGTCGCTGTGGTTGGTTCCAGTTGTTCTTTACCGGTGTCTGACATTTTTTTTTTTTTTTTTTTTGATTTGTTGTTGGGATTTGCCCAAGTTTTGTATCGGAACAAAACATCGTCCTTCGAGCCGGATAGTGAGTACGAGGAACATCCTTTTTTACTTTTGTTGAATATTGGCGAAAATCAGGTAACGATATAGTTTTTTGATATTAATTATCTTATATTTCGATAAAATTATCAGTCTTTGTAAATAAAAGTTATTTGCAAATATTCCCAAATTATTTTGTTTACCCCAGTTTTGTGGTCAAAAAGGTCTTGATCTGGTAACGCCGTCACAGCTGATCGCCGTTTTGACAGAGAACACTAACAACTAACAGTGGATTACTCGTTGGTCTTCTTCTTGTTAGTTAGTTTTTTGTTTTGATTTTATTTGGTTTGGTTTGCAACTAAGTTTTATTGATTAAAATATAATTTAAAGGAAAAAACTAAAATACACAAAAAAATTATAATTATAATTTATAGTTTTATAAAATAATAATTTGGTGTCAGTGTTAGCGAGTGCTGTGGTTAATTTGTGAGAGAATAAACGGAATTGAAACAGACGGACGGACAGAATCTGTAAAATAATAATTCTGTTTAGCAAGTTTTTTCTCACAAAATTGCAAATAAGTGACTTTGCCAATAAAATAAGAAAAAGAAAAAGGAAATTTTTCCTCTCTTTTTCGTGTTTTTTTTTTTTTTTTTTTACTCCAGTAAAATATTAAATTTCTGTGATTAAAGTTTGTATGGGTTGTTTGTTGTTGCCCATTTTTTTTTTTTGCTAGTGACAGCTGCACTTTAAGTTGGAAGGAGACTTATAATAACAAGGTGAGTCGTCCTTCACATTACTTTTGTTAGTGACAGATGCACTTTAAAGTGGAAGGAGACTTATAATAACAAGGTGAGTCGTCCTTCACATTACTTTTGTTAGTGACAGATGCACTTTAAAGTGGAAGGAGACTTATAATAACAAGGTGAGTCGGCCTTCACTTACCAATAAGATTTTTGGTTACAGAATAATTTATTTTTTTGTTCTAATTTCGGGTTTTAACCATATTAAGTGCTTATTTAAAAATCGTTACGGATAGTAATTACACTTCTTCGGAAATTTAGTGAAAACTGGAGTGATTTATATATTATTTTTTCCCAAGATTTCGTTGATTTATATTGGAATTTGTTGATTACTTAAATCAAAAAATGTCAGAATCGAAAGTTTTGCTTAAATTTAAAGCACTTGCTGCCTTGTTACTGGAGTTTGAGGCTGATTTTGACGCCATGAACAAAGACTCGGTAACTATGTTCGCTGTTGAGCCTCGTAAGGTTGAATTGAAAAGATTATGGGCCAGAATAAATTCTACTTATGAACATGTTTGTATTGAAAGTAGTGAATTCAAAGACGAAGCAGCTAATCTTTATAGGCAGTGTAGGGAAGCGTACATGTGTTGCTCCGCGCAAATGGGTGAATTGTCCCAGTCCTTTGGGGACAACTCTACATTATCATCGACAATGGTTAGTCCTAGTCAGCGAACAAGACGTTTGGAAAATAACGTTTCTGACCATCGCTTGCGCTTGCCTCCTTGTACGACGGAGATTTTTCATGGTGATTATTTGTCGTGGCCGTCTTTTAGAGACATGTTCACTGCGGTATACATTGATTGTAAATCGATCACGCCGGTGGATAGATTGTTTTATTTACGCCAAAGTACTCAAGGTGAAGCTTTAGAAATCGTTAAAAAATCACCTTTGACTAACGATGGGTTTGCAAATGCATGGTCAAATCTAAAGGACAGATATGAGAATAAGCGCATTTTAGTGAACAGTCAATTGAAGGTTCTTTTTAATCTGGTTTCAGTCAAGAATGAGTCAGCTGGAGAGATTAAACGCCTCCAAAGGGACGTTAACAATTGTATTACGGCCCTAAAGTTACACGAAATCAACATTGATAGCTGGGATCCGATTTTTGTGTTTCTATGCTCCACTAAATTGCCCACAAATACATTATCGCTTTGGGAGCAGACCGTTAGTAAAAAGACAGAAGTTTCCAAGTGGTCGGATCTAGATGAATTTTTGACAGCCAGATTTCAGTCGTTAGAGACCGTATACGACTTAACACATTCAAAGGAAGTTAAGTCTCCTGAAGTTAAACCACCGATTGAACATTCTCGTTCGAGCAGGAGGGTAAAGTCTTATCAGGCTAACATAAATAAAAAATCGTGCTTTATATGTTGGCAGGATCATTGGTTGAAATCTTGTCCGAAGTTTCTGAAGATGAATCATGAACAAAGATTTGTGGCGACAAAAAGAAATAACCTTTGCCTGAACTGTTTCAGTAACAATCATAAACTCTCTCAATGTACAAAGAATACAAGTTGTTCAAAATGTAATTTAAAGCATCATACTCTTTTGCATAGAGAGTCTAAACAGGCGGGTTCCGGATCGATGGCTAATTCGGATGCCCAACCTAGTACTAGCCGGCAGGCAGCGCAAACTAATATTGAGTCTAGAGTGCAGAATTGTTTTGTAGTTACTCGAAAACAGGTTCTACTGGGAACGGCGATTGTTCAAATTGACGTGAATGGTGTAATTTTTGTTGCTAGAGCTTTAATTGATTCGGGATCTCAGGCAACATTCATTTCTGAAAAATTGCAGCGACGTCTTAATCTGCCCATTAAAAAAGTAAACGCTAGGATTTCCGGTCTGAATGATGTTTTAGCTGGGTCTGCTGAGAAACAGTGTACATTTTTGTTAAAATCGCCTCATAATGACAGTTTTGGAGTCCAAGTTTCTAGTTTGGTTTTGCCAAAATTGACAGTAAAACTGCCTAGCTATACTTTGGATGTTCCAGATATCTACTCGCTCGGTATTGTACCTTTGGCTGATCCTAAATTTGCAATGAGTGATCAGGTTGATATTTTGCTTGGTGGTGACGTTTATCCTCAGATTGTGTTGGATGGAGTGCATCGAAACGTCTTAGGGTCGTTGTTGGCACAAGAAACTATTTTCGGTTGGGTTCTCACAGGCCCGATTGCTAATCCAAGCCCTGTATCATTTACAACGTGTGTTTCCTTTTGTACGGCTGTCGAGATGGACAAACTTTTAGAAAAGTTTTGGGAGTTAGAAGAACCACCGAAAGTGACAGTATACAGTCCAGAAGAAGAATATTGTGAGGAAGTTTATCAAAAGACCACCAAAAGGTTGCCCGATGGTCGATATATGGTTTCGTTGCCTTTTAAACCTCAGTTTGAGGGCGGAACGGTTCTTGGTATATCCAGAACAAAAGCTTGTAGACAATTTTTGCGAAACGAGGCGTCTTTGTGTAAGAAACCGGAATTTAAGTCCATATATGATAGTGTGTTGGAAGAGTACGAGTCTTTGGGTCATATGGCAGAAGTTACGCAAGATGAAGAAGAATCAAGGTCTTTCTATCTGCCTCATCATGCTGTCATTAAACCTGAAAGTTCATCTACAAAAGTTAGAGTCGTTTTTAATGCTTCTAGCAAGTCCTCTTCAGGGTTGAGTTTAAATGATACTTTATACCCAGGCCCAATTCTTCAGAATGACTTGATGTTATTGATAATTCGTTGGCGATTTTATCGGTATGTCTTCAATGGCGATATTGAAAAGATGTATCGTCAGATTTGGTTAAATGGGGATCATACCAGGTTTCAGAGATTGGTTTTTCGTAAGGATCCTAAAGCTGAATTGAAAAACTTTGAATTGAAAACTGTGACGTTTGGTGTCAATTGTGCACCTTTTTTGGCCATTAGAACTTTGCTCCGGTTAGCATCAGATGTTGAAGAGGAATTACCTTTAGCGGCCAAAATTCTGCGCCGTATGATGTACGTAGATGACGCCCTAGCAGGTGCTCATGAATTGGAACTGGCAATTGAAGCTAGAGATCAGTTGGTTTGCGCTCTATCCTCGGCCGGGTTTTCCATGAGAAAATGGACTTCGAACAATGAGAAAATATTGCAAGGGTTACCTCCAGATCATCTTCTTACCGAAAATTTTTTGGAGATTGAGGACGAAAGTAATACGAAAACTTTAGGCATAAGATGGAATGCAAAGAGTGACTTTTTCTATTTTTCGGTGAAACCCATTGAAATGAAGCTGGAGTTCACTAAAAGGGAGGTTTTATCCATAATTGCCAGCTTGTTTGATCCCGCAGGTTGGCTTGGACCCGATATTATAGTTGCAAAAATGTTAATGCAGGAGATTTGGAGCGAAGGTATTGGTTGGGATGAGGAACTGCCTGAGAGAATTTGCCATAAGTGGAAGCAATTCGTTGTTGATTATCTTTCGTTGAATGGTATTAAAATTCCAAGATGGGTTGGTTTTCAGCCAAGTGGCCAAGTGGAAATTCATGGGTTTTCGGATGCTTCTGAGAAAGCCTATGGAGCTTGTGTTTATGTTCGCGTAGTATCTGAAGAGGGTTCGGTACAAACGCATTTATTGTTGGCGAAATCAAGAGTTGCTCCTCTAAAAATTGTTTCATTGCCTCGATTAGAGCTGTGTGCTGCGCTTTTGTTGTCAGATTTGATGGGGTCTGTACGGACCGATTTGTGTCTTGATGAGAAGAAAACTAAATTTTATTGTTGGTCTGACTCCATGATCGTCCTTGCTTGGCTACAAAAGCCACCGAACTCGTGGAACACTTTTGTTGCTAATAGGGTTTCAAAAATAGTTGATACGGTTGGAAAAAGCAACTGGAGACATGTTAGATCAGAATTTAATCCTGCGGACCTGATCAGCCGAGGTATTCGACCACAACATCTTAAAGATGAAGCGCTCTGGTGGTATGGACCATCTTGGCTTCAAGCTTCTTGTAGCCAATGGGAAACGGACATCGTAGATTTTGATACTCAGGAAGAGGGAAAAAAGGTGAAAATATTTCATGCATACATAAAAAAGTATGATGATGTCCTGGATCACTTTTCTTCTTATTCAAAGGCGTTACGCATCATGACATATGTTTTTCGTTTCATTGCCCGTCTGAAAGGGCAAAACTCTTTCTCCCAGACAATGGTAAGTTCCAAAGAATTTCAAATTAATTGTTGGGGCATCCAAGACAATAAGGACTGAATTTCGCAACTTTATTCAAACGGTTGGCCCTGAATTTATTAAGATATATTCGGCAAGAGGTGTGAATTGGGTTTTTAATCCAGCAGGAGCACCACATATGGGTGGTTTATGGGAAGCTGGTGTGAAATCGTTTAAACACCACTTCAGAAGAATAGCAGCAAATTTAAAATATACTTTTGAAGAATTTTCTACGCTGTTAGCTCGTGTAGAGGCATGTTTAAATTCAAGACCACTTTGTCCTCTGTCTGATGATATAACTTCTCTTGATGTCTTGACTCCTGGGCACTTCTTAGTAGGTGGACCCATCTTGTCTCCACCCGAACCCGAAATAAGTGAAGCACCGGAATCGATAATAAACCGATGGCAAAGGGTTAAAGCTTTGAATCAACGTTTGTGTGTACGTTGGAAGAATGAATATTTGAAGGAGCTCACCAAACGGAACAAGTGGAAAAATCCCGATGAAAATGTTAAAGTCAATGATATGGTTGTTATCAAAGAAGATAATATTCCGCCTAATGAATGGAGATTAGGTCGCATAACTAAAGTGTTACCAGGCGTCGATCAGTTAGTGCGGGTTGCAGAGATCAAGACTGAAAGGGGTTTGATAATTAGGCCAGTAGTTAAACTGGTCGTCTTACCCTCTAACTAGAGTTATTTCGTTCATTATAGAATCATGGTTAAAGCTAAGAAATACAATGCCGAAAATCGTGTGAACAAGAGACGTATTGTTTGCCGAGTGTGTCTAAAGGATCATCCACTTCGGTTTTGTCGCAAGTTCCTGGATATGGATTACGTCGAAAGAATGAAGATAATCTCCATTTATAAGCATTGTGCTGGTTGTCTGGCACACGATCACACGTGGCGCACGTGTGAGAGCACCGGTAAGTGTAAGAAGTGTGGAGATATGCACCATACCTTACTTCACAAACCTGGACCTCGTCCGTCTGGGGATTTGGTGAAGAAGAGTTTTCCTGGGGACGGACCTAGTTCGTCCAAGTCCCGACCGAAGAAAGGGCCCCGCTCGTCTAACTCTTTTAAGGAACCAGAGCATACCCAGAATGGACCTAGTTCGTCCAAAACTGCGTCGCATAACGGACCTCGTTCGTCCAACCATGGATTTAAAAAGGGACCTAGTTCGTCCTCGAAGAAATCTTCTAGTGAAGTAGTGCCGTACGGTAGGCGACAGAATAGTAGGAGGGAGACGTCGTATGAAGTGATTCCTACATATAGCTTACGAGAGACTATCTTGTTGAGAGCGACAGCAATGGTTAAAGTTATTTGCGGAGATCGTTATTTGCATGAAAGGGCCTTAATTGACCCCAGTAGCGAGAGCTCTATAATAGCTGATTCTTTGATGAAGAAGATGGGTCAAAAAGTTCTTCGAGTTGGAAATAAAACCCGATGCCTGCTCCAGCTTAGAGGCAATCACGGGATGTCGTCGACGGTGGAAACGTATGCGGAAGTTCGTCGCAATTACGCCGTGGTTACTCCGAAGAAGTCAGTGGATGTTCGTCTTGTAGAGGAGTTCCCGGGGTTGCAGTTAGCTGACGAGCATTTCCACACATCGGGACCGGTTTATCTGACGTTGGGTGGAGATTTGTATTCCAAAATCATTCGGAACGGGGTCAGCGGAGGTGCGCTTGGAAAACCGCTTGCGCAGTTTACTATTTTTGGATACGTTATATCCGGAACTTATGCCTCATAAATTGCTGTAAGGCATGATGTATATTTGTTTTAACCATGACACAACATAATGTGGATATCTAATTACAGCTCTGATCTCATTGGATTTTCTTTTTTTCTGTTAAAATGAATATGAATTTTTTATTGGATTTTACTTACAATATTTTCGATGAATAAGTTATTTGTTTGTTGAATTTTTTATAACTTAAAGCTGAATTGAGATTAACAACAATGTGCAGAATTTGCACTGTTCTCAACAACCGACTAATTCTTTTTATTTCTTTTATTTTCTTATCGTTTCATGGTTTTCGAGCTATTTTCAGAGCTTTCTAGTTCCGAAAGACTGAAAGGTGGCCGGGATGTTCACGTTCGTGTCGTGCCCAAATTTGGAAATCCCAGGATCCTACAGTCAAGCTATAACATCTCTCGTTGATCTGGCTACCCTAGACGAAGCTTGGGATATTTTTTCTTTGGTTGCTGAGATGGCGCACTCGCTGAGATAGATTTAGCGATTATTATGTTTTTAGTTATAAGATTTATCCTTCTTGTTGTTTAACTCGTTGAACGGAATAGACGTCCGCGTTTTTTAGACCGATCGATTCTGCCAATAAGAAATCAATTTGTGTAAAATCTTTAAGTTTTTCCCTCTTTTTAATAAAAACAAGAATTGTTTTCTTTCCGTGGCCGAAAATAAGTGATTTTTTATTCAAACATAAAATTGCCTGGTGTCGCTGTGGTTGGTTCCAGTTGTTCTTTACCGGTGTCTGACATTTTTTTTTTTTTTTTTGATTTGTTGTTGGGATTTGCCCAAGTTTTGTATCGGAACAAAACACTATGTATGGTGGGGGTATAATAAAAATATTGTGATGTGTGTAATTTGAAGACAACCGGAGCAATAGATATATTGCAACCGAGTTTCAAAAATTGGGAGCATTCGATTGAATGTATAAAAATCCAACTAATTTTAGCTGATTTTACATATTTGGTGCACAATACACGTGAAATCGTATGAAACATATACATGGGTGCTATAGCCATATACTAACCGATTTCACGAAATGTGCTTGCTATAGATTAAATTCAGTCGTACATGCCAAAATCCATTCCATTTGGCCTGTTATTAACTATTTGGTGCACAATAAAACTGAAATCGTATAAACATATGTATGGGAGCTCTACCCAAATCTGATCCAATCTTGATAAATATTGGGTGAAGTATTTCTACTCTGTATCTAATATCTGGTATCATATGTCATTGCTGTGGAGTTCATATTACGAATGTGTGGACTTAAACAGCAAATCGGATGAAACATATGTATGGGAGCTTTATCCATATCTCAACCGACTTTTACCAAATCTGAAGTACATGCACCTAGGCTGAAGTCGGTGGAAGGTGCTGAAACTCATCAATAAAATTGAATTCGGACGAAGATATATGTGGGACCTATATCTAGATTTGGACCGATTCTCATCAATTTCTGTGGGGCCACACAAATGATTTGTGGAAAATTTCACCTCAAACGGAAAATAAATGCGACCTGTACTTTGTTTTCAAAAATATGGACGAACATTGTTTAATCCACACAAATATTTTTATATGAAGATCATCAAAAGGAACTATGGCTATATTTCGTTTTCTTCAGCATGTTAGAAACAAAAATACAAAGACACAATACCCTGTGCCACAGTAGGTCGTAGGTTATAAACGCATAATTACGTTCATGTTTGAAGATTAGTTCATGCAAACGTTAGCATCGACTGCGGCTCAAATGGTCCAAGGTAATTTTCTAATACTCTTTCCAACATTTCGGCTGATGTCTCACGAATAAATGCTTCAATGTTGTCATCCAATTCGTCAATTGATGCTTGCTCATCTGTATGGACATGAGCTTTAACATAGACCCACAAAAAATTTAAATCAGGTGTTAAATCGCACAATTGACTGGTTCCGAACGTGAAGTAAATTGTTCACCTAACTAAAATTATCCAATAAATAAGTCCATTGTTACGAGCGCTGTGAGATATGTCGCACCGCTTCGTTGAAACCACACAATTTCAAGTTCAAGTTAAGTCTTTGCATTTTGAGCAAATTTGAAGAAGTACGGTACAATGATGCCACCAGCCACCAGAATGCATTGGTAGCTTTTGCAATGCTTTTGGGTAACCTTCTTTTCAAAAGTACAATTCTGCTTATTTACATTCCCATTAAGACAAAAATGAACTTCGTCGCAAAATGAAAGAAGCTATGCACATTCTTGACAGAGCAGCCATTGTGACAATATTCGGTAATTTGTAAGAGGGGTTCTTTTAAATAAACTGAAGATGCTTGACAATAAAAACAAACACGAAACCTGTATGACCTGTTTAATCCAGTATTGCATAAAATATAATAGCTAGAAAATCTCCCTTTGGTATTATTCTCAATTTAAATTTGGTCTAGAATATTTCTTTGGTACTTTCCCCAGGAAGTGGAGTATTAATTTGGATTCTTACTTAGATTGGGAACGTGTTAAATTAGCGGTAATAACCGTAAACACATAGTATGTCAAGCAATTGTATAATATTTTAGGGGTTAAAACTGTCGACCAAAATAACCTCTGTATTGCTGTTAGTAATAGTGCCGAAGATACTTTTAATTTTTCTCAAGTAGTGTGATCACTCTTCAAAAATTTCGAAACTTTCCCTGTTCTCTTCAAAGTTTGCACCTTCCAATATTGGTGCTAACATTAGATTCAGTGAAAAGTTTGAATTTGTAGATCCAATGTGTTGAAAGCGTTGCAAAACCTCTTAAGAGCTGGCAGTATTGCTATGTATTTTCTATACGAAAAATTTGATGGAAATGGGAACTTATTTAAAAACATGGACCTTTATCAATAACTAATTGTCATGAAATAAATATTGGAATAGAAAATTTTGTAAAAGCCTCTGTACTGTTAAATTATAAATTTGCAGATAATAAATATAGTAAAAGAATAAGACTAATATAAAGTACATACTGCAAATGTCTCGCTGTCAAGGTTTTGTTTGCTATGAGAAATAACAGAGTGGTCATGGTTGCTTAAACTAGTATATAGATTGTCACTTTGAAATACAAATACAATATGTGGAAAGACATATCCCACTGAGAGTTGTGATGTAGAAATTCTGGTCCTGTAATAAATTTCTCCACTTTGGACAGACTATAGACTACAATAAATTTATGTAAATTGTCGCCAGTCATATTTATTTTAATTTTCATTAAAACTTAATACAAATCAGAAGTTGAAATACTTATTTCAATTATTAACATAAATAAGTTATCTAAATTATTTGCAAACTTGCAACAAAATACAGGATGGTTATAGTCAGTATTCGCCTCATAAAGTTTTAATGTTAATGTTTAAAGCCAATGGCCTTAACAAACCATTTACACAACCACAATGAATAGCAGACATCCATCGTTGCGTATGAGTAACACTGATGTAATGCAAATATGCATACGCAGCCATGTACTCACATTTAGTTATGTCACTTGTGTTGGTACAAGCTGTAAATGTTACATTGACATAAGCTGCTTGCCAGTGGTTTTGAACTGTAGCGCCTATTTACATTGGTTATTTATACGGTTTCAGACATGTAATGGGTGTAATTTGTATTTAATCCAAACTCACGCACATCTGCTGTGATGAGGGCAACACCAACGAGACGATATGTCGTCTGAGCTGGCCAGAATAGTGTAGACGAGGGTTTGCCGACATGAGGACAGTGGTTGGAGTGGAGCATTTATTACAAAATTATATTCATATTCGAACTTGAAGGTAACAAAATATGAAAAATACAAGCAGTTTTTAAATCTAAAAAATTATTAATAATATAAATTCATGTTTGGTATATTTGGACAGGCTTTGTTGGTAATATGCTACCAACATATCCATCATTTTTGTAAATGTGTTAATTTTTTTCCACTAACAAATAAAAGTCGTTTTTTAGGAACAACAAAAATGGGATTATTCACATGTTCTGCGAACAGGTCACACATTAAGCTCGTTTGACTGTCAATTTTGCTGGCAAAATTTTATTCGACGCCAAAATCATTATTCAATGTGAAAAAATTAAATAATTGTATGATTTTTTTCCAGATTTAATTATTGGAAGAAAAAATTATTGGCAGTAAGACAAAGTATTTTATTCGCTCTACAGACAAATCGTTAAATCGATT